AATTCCCAGAGTTCCCCAGCCAGCATGGTTGGGGAACTCTGGGAATTGAAGTCCACTCATCTTAAAGTGGCCAAGTTTGGACAACACTGCTTTAGGCTATTGAGTCCAGTCCCTAAAGCATTCCTGGGATGGCTCTCCACCTCTGTAGGAACTCACAGCCTCCAAAAGAGCTTTAACCTGAACCTGAATTGGTCAGGACACCTGGAGTTGGTTCACATGTGCACTGGTAACCCTGGGCTACTGTACATTTGATGAATGGTGGCCTGTAATGACAATGGGACATATCAATGCAGTCGGATTGTTGGTTGGCCCATTCATATATTGAAAGCATCAAGGGAAGAGACTCCACACCAGCTCTGAATCCTGATCTCTTTTAACTCTGGTGCTGACGGAGACCTTCAGATCCACTCTCCTAACCGTGGTTAAGCCTTCCTTGCCATTTCTTTGGTGGCCATTAATGGGAAAGTATGCAGTGATGAGTAACATGGGGAGAGCTTTTCTTGTGTGTAAAGGTTTCTGATCGCCACCAGCCCAAGAAGCCAAGTTTTAACAAATAAAGTCAAATGAAGCAGACTACATTTGTTGGCGAGAGAAGGGAACAGACTGTTGCTTACCCCCTTGTCTGTGCTCCTGGGGAGAACGCTTTGCAGAGGTTAGTCCTGGAAAAGGGTGTGCTTCTTGAGGTCAGGATCTCTGGGAGAACTCTTGCCAAGTATGAAAAGAAGCTGTTTGTGCTCTCAGCAGCCTGTCGATCAAGTTCTGATTGACTGGGGAGCGTTCGTGTTTGTTGGCTTTGAGGAAGCTGACCTCCACTCAGAACGGAAGAGAAAATAGCTGGGCTGCAATCATAGCCTGTGTTCTCGGAGGGGGAATAGCTTGCATTGCAGATTGACAGGTGCCTGAAGCAAGCCAGAAGTTCTTCCCATGCTCTTCTGCAGTTGCTTTCATAGAGCTACCAAACTCAGATCTTGTCTCTCCTTCACAGCTTTGTTGCAGTACTCGGTAATGTTGTCTAACTTCACAATAGCCTACCGATGTCCCCATTTTTCTCCCTCTCTTGTTTATTTTAAACTTTGTTAACCACTTTTACTTGCTTGAATAGAAAGACAGGCCATTAACTGGATGGATGAATAATGACTTGACTAAGACCTTGCTGCATGTGGCAGAGGAGTTTGTGCGGTGCTCTTTGATCATATAGTCACGTGGATCTCGCAAGTGTATCTCTGAATAGCTCTGCTAGAAAACTACTACTTTGACGGTCATGGCTAAGGGGTTGTAATTCCCTCACTTGAAGGCTAAAGCGGCAGTCCTTGATTCTACTTTGACCGTAGCGTTCTCATTGCAATGTAGGAATGGTATTACTGATCTAGTTTATGAGTCTGTAAAGATTACAGGCTAGATAGAAGCCATTTATTCCTTTTGAATTTCCCTGATGCAGTTTCTTTCTCTTGGCCCTTCCTCATCCACCCTTCTCTCCTAGTCGCTCTGGGACAAATCTGGAACCTTGATCAGTTGGAGGGTTGGAAGGAGGGTTGAGAAGGGAACAGGCCAGAGTAGCTTTGCCTGTCTGGCTTCTTGCTGGGGCTGGGTGTCCTGATGGTGTATGAAAATTCTCTGGCTTCCACGTTTGGCTGCCTTAATGATGAGTGTCTGTGAAATCCTTTGAATGTGCCCAAGGACTAGATAAAAACTTGACATCTATGTTTCAATGCATTCATGGGAATATATCTTGTATCTAGTTCATATCCTTCCTTATTTGTAAAGCATTAAAAATGTAGTACATTGCTCAGGTCACTTGAATCACCACCTCCAGTGGAAAGAGACCATCATAATTGGGAGAGTAGCTGTGCTACAGGCTATTAGACATCTGTTGCTTGTAATTCCATCCTAGGTGGAAGGTGGCCTCTGCTTAATAATCCATTGCTCCATCTCTTTCCTTGCCCCTCCTACTCTGAATCAGCTTTGGTGCTCCTTCCAAGGACAACCACCTTATGATGGTTCAGAAATTGCTGGACAAGTTGTGTAGGTATGGCTGTGCAAAGCCAAATGGGGTCAGTATGCTGCTACAGATGTCTACACCAACCTCAAGATGAGTTAAGGTTCCCCTCCCAACAGCTCTAGCCAACAACATCCTGGCTGGGAGTGATGGGAGTTGGAATCAGGCACATCTGGATGCATCAAGTTGGGAAAGCTGTGCTAGAGGAGACCTGGCTTCTGAGATTTGTCTCTCTTGCTTCACGGAATCCAAGGAGAAGCAAGACCACCCTACCGGTATAGCAGCTAATATGTGGCCAGAAGTCATAAGTTTTGGTACCCCTGCTAAGCTTCTGGCCCCAACAATACTTGATGATGTGCAAACCCTTGATGTGTAGATAAACCCTCTGTTAAAACCAATTCAGATTCTGGGATGCTCATTTTTGGTCTACAAAGACAGATCTTTCCTTTTAACACATAATCGAGTACTTCAAATCAAACTTTAGGTTGATCTCTAGCACCAGCTTAATGTTCAGACAGTCAGGTTGTTGAAAGTCTCCTGCCTTGAGATGCTTCCAAGATGTGTGAGGGGCCCAGCCGAGGAGAAGAAGCAGCGTGGTTTACCACTGGTGGCAAATGGGGCGATGGACTGACTTGTGACTTTGGGCCACCTGTCTCGGCCCTTTATCAGGCCTTCTTTCCAAAGTGTTTAGGAATTTCTTTGCCATCTGCACCTCACAGTGGATGCATGGAGGCTGTGAGGCGTGCTGTGCAGGATTCTTACACATAAGAAGGTCTGAGCTCTGTTTTATCTGTGGAGTGTGCAAGTGGGTGGCTTTCAAAAAATAAAATGAAGAGCTACGGAAGAAATAACATCACCCTTCTTTGGCCACCACGGCTGTTTTCCTCCTCCTCTTTGGGTACGTTAAATTTCAGAGCTCTCCTCTTCTCCTGCTTCATCTTTCAGGCCTCACCTGCAGAGGTATGGAGGTGTGTCCTGAACCATGAGAACAGC